TCTGCCTTGGCTGGCTGTTGACCCCTTGTAAAATTTTTATAGCAGAGTGACCACGTAATAGAAAGAATTGCCCTTTAGCCATTTTATAACATGCTTCTATAAACTTCCATCTCATACTCTCACACAGGCAGTTAGCTCTGAACACAAGTGCAGACTTAAAAGTCTCTGTTTGTTTGTGTCAGTCCTCCTGCGAGTGTAACAAGAGAAACTGGGAAAAATCTGTGCTGTGAAACACAGTGCTCAGGACCGAGATCTTCAACGTGGCGCCTCAGCCAGACGCTCTCTGCTCTGGGGCTGAGGAGTGTTTAACGACGCAGGCTGAAGTGATGTGACGGGAGGCAAGGCAGACCTCCCGGCCTGCTGCCGATAAGCCCTCGTACCGGGGTCATATAGGATTTGCAGCCTAGATTTTGGTTGGAGGCTATGCTACGTTGGGGGGTGGGGGTGCGCAGTGTAATTTCAGAAGTAAGTCGTACATATCCAGAATAGCATTTGAAACAGAGGACCTGCCTTACGGGATAACTTTCTTCTGTTCTTCAACTTCAATTTCTCCACTGAAACATAAAATAAGTGCTATTATTGTAAAATTCTCCTATTTCCAATGAGGAATTTCTTGAATTTCTGTTCATCAGTCTTAAACAGGGACAAAATAATTCACTTTGAATCCTGAAGAACGAAATGGGTAATCTCTCTGGAGTGACTTCCCCGTACAGCTGCTCAAGCGCGTCCAATCATTTCAAAAGCAGAAGTAGCCCTTTCCAAATTGGGGAAGTTGCTTTGTAGATATGTCCAGGCAGCTCCTCTTTCCAGTGTTTGCTGCATCTACAACCTCCTCACCCTTCACTGTTCCCATCTGTTCTCTCCTTAATGTCGTCATTTAGTTTTCAGCTTCGAGAACCATGTGTGTGTTGAGGGATTGACACCTTTTGACTAAATGTGGTGTTTTCATCAAATGAAAAAGCCCTTTGTGGGGGAATGTTCAATGGGTGTGACAGCTGGCATGGGCCCATAGAGAAAGGGAGTTGTGTTTGTGTCCGCTCTGTTGTTTCAGGAGCTGTTAGTTTAGGTGATGATCCTTCCTTTCCCTCCAGCCCCGGAGACTAACATAGCTGCTCCTGTTTGCACCATATAAAAAACAGTGGAGTAATTAGTCAAAGCATGGCTTATGATGACACAGATTATAGTTATCACTAGGGCCTTGCATTAAGCAATTATGCTACGTTTTGTATCTAAAGAAGTCTAAAGACGAAGCAAAGAAGTTGCACTGTAAGCTCTTCAGGGCAGGGATCTAGCATATTATTAGTTTTAGTGCTCTTTAAATAATGTAATTAAGTAAGACAAATGGGATGCTTTGAAAGTCTGCGACTAATGCCTTGTAATACTGCAAGAGGATGAACTAGCTGAAGTCATTTCCAGGACTAATATTTATCCTTATCTGTGATTCTGTGATTCTGTGATTCTGTGATTCTGTGATTATCCTTCCTCTGACTTTGAGGCTGATTTCCTCCTCCTATTTCAGTCCAGTGCACCGAGCAGAGGGAGGGGACGTTGGAGGCGGTGGAGCTGGAGTCTTCATTAGTGGGGTGAAGGGGCTCACGTCAGGAAGGCAGAGGGAGCTTGCTGGGGTATGGTACAGCGCTTTCAGCACATCCCGCTGCTATTGCGACCTGGCACTTTGCTCTCTTCAAGATGCTAATGGACAGTGGCTGCTCTAATCTCCTCTCTGGTCTTCTTGCTGCCGCGCCTGTGTGTTTGCAGATATTTGCTCCTCAACTGACTTCTTTCACCGGTAATTGCAAGTGAATAAAACTCATGCAGAAGTGGCTTGCCACAGCTAAGCAATGAGACAGAGTTAGAACCTGACACCTTCTGACTTCTTGAGACGCTAATGCAGTCATCCCTGGACTGTGAAGTCCTCAAATGAAAGGTAGTCAGTTAAATGCTGAATAGCCCCATCTGACAAGGCATTTCAGAATGAAAAGAAAAAAACAAAAACCTGTGGCTGAACAAAGCTGGATTTGCCTTGCTACTGAGGTTTTTTGTTTAGCTCTTTCTTGTCTGTGGCCCTTTCTTAAGAGAGAAAAAACATGCTTTTCCGCTCAGCATGCAGATTTTAATAAATGCCTTTCATCTCTTAAATTTAAAATCAATGATTATAATGTTGATTTTGTCTCCTATTGCCTGTTATGAATGTGAACTCATTTTTACACTTCTGTGTGTGAGCTGAGTTCTGAAGGCTTATCGGGAGCAAACGTCTGCTTTTCTTCCTGCCACCTGACCGTTTTGTGATTTATGTGAAATGACCAAGCCTGAGGCGTGCCCAAGCTTTGAGCCCGAGGGTAGCCAGGAGAGTTGCTACAAATAGGAATAGGAAAGAGTAGTAGTAAGAGAATTGTTAAATTGTTTTCCTAAGGCACAGCAAGCCCAGATGCCAGTGCTCTTCACTTTGCCCATATCCTGGTTGGGTCTGGAGAGGTGTGGCTAGCACAGGAGGGTAGGTTATGGTGACTGTGGTGACGGTCCAGAGGCCATTAGACTCCTGCAGTGGTTGTTCTTGGGAACATGAGTAAAGAGGAGAAAGCAGAAGAGTGGTGAGAGGGGAGATGATGGCTTGGTTTGGCAGCACAGTGAGTCAAAGTATTCAGCAAGCACCTCTGCAGAGGACTGGAAGGTTCAGAGAGGCTGCAGACCTTGAGAGATGGGAGTAAATGGAAAAAAATCTCAATAGCGTGAGCAATTTTAGCTTGAATCTGACATGTGTACAGTACTCTAGATCAGCAGCTGGGGAGATGCGACTCAAGTTCATGAATCTGGCCTCTTGCTCTTGGGGGAAGATAGCATAGGGAAGAATGTGGGCTTGCAGCCGTATCTGGCCTGGCTCAGCTGACTCCCCTTCTCATCTGAGCAGAGCTGACTGCCTCAGCAGTCCTATGTGAGCCCTTGCAGACAGGCAGATTCCTGCAGGATATACAAGGCTCTTACCCGGCCAAGAATTGTGATATTTACCCAAATGTTTTCTCCCTAGCTTCTAGAGTATGAAACAGAACCCTATTTCCATAGACCACTTAATTCTAAGATGGTAAATCTAGATGCCTACTTCAGTCTCTGAAAAGCCCTGGTTCCTGGGTAACCCTAAAATAGCCACAGAAATATCAAGAGTGAGAGCTGGACAGGAACCTCTGCACTTCTGTTGTTGGGCTGAAGGCTGACAGCAGAATCGCGCACTAACTCAGTACTTGTTGCGGGCAGGAGGGTGCCTCCTGTAGCAGTACCACTCTGATAGCACAGTATAACAAACAGCCCCTTCTCCTTGAGTCTTTGGGTTCCCCCAGTCAATGTTTCAAAAATATGAGGTTTACATTATCATTCCTGCCATCTCTTTTACTGCTTGCCTTGAGCTTGGTGTATCAGTGCTCTTGCACAACTGCCAGCTCCTGCACCTACGACTTTAGAGTAGCTACTGTCTTCTCAGGTGCCAAAGAAGACATCATCTGGGAAGAGGGTGAAAGGAACATGTCCTGATGGCTTTAAACACTGCAAAAATCTAACTTTTAATAGCAGTCAGGAGAGGGTCTGACCCAACTCTTGGCCAGAAGCCCTTAGGAATAACACAAGCAGGCTCAGCTGTTCATGATTTTTATGTCAGGCAGGGCTAAATGACTTTTAAAATCTTTGGCTGTTTTCCTGCTCTGTAGTAGAAAATTGGCCTTTAACTGGAAATGAACAGTGATTTCTCCTCATATCAGACACTGCGGCTCTGCTGGCAGCCATGTTGTGGTATTGTCACACTCATTTAGTTATCTGTCCTAACGGAGAACTTGAGTTGGCCATGTGTTGCAAACTTAACCCTTATGGAAAAAAACACAAAACTGGTTTGTGTTGGCAGAATTCTTTGCGGCAAGATGAAAGACCTGTTGGTCTGTCTGCACATCCCTCTGGGACAGAAGCAGGTTTCCAGCAAAGGGCTGTGTGCTGCACCTTAGCATTTAGAAGTACATTGCTCTTCAATAAGCAGAAGACAATCTCTTTCTGCCAGTTTGAAAGTGAAATTTCCTGTAGAAAGAGAAGAACTGAAATGGTGTGTGGAGTCAGGGAATGGTGCAATGTTTGTTCTGTGCCAGGCTGTCAGGAGGTGGTTTAAGAAGTGCTTTTTGGCTATCAGTTCCTGCTACCTGAAATCTGAGAAATCAAACAAGGTAGGGAGGGAATTGAAAGGTCTTTGTGAGCAAAAATCTGCATGACTTGAGCCAGCGTCATCACTGGGTTGGCACAAAATAGAACAATTGTAAGCCAGGCACAGGCACCACAAAATGAGTAAGGGCAGAGAGATGGATCCTCGTCACTGAAACGCATTCCCTTCCCGTCCAGATCGAGGCATGCCACTGGGAAAAGGATGGGTAGATTTGCCAAGATTTATCTAGAACCAAACCGAGATGACACTAGCACTTCTTCCCCTGCTCCTTGCGTCGTGTTTGTGCAGCACTTTGGCACGAGGAGACTTAAATTTTGTCTGAAGCCTCTAGGCTTTTGCAATTATAAAATTGCAATTAAACAGCTTCGTTGGTAGTCAGAAGTAGCTAGTACTCTGTAGGCTTTTGTAGGTGAATAAGAGTACCTGAGTCTTTGGGGTAATAGACTGAAGACTTTTCACCGCTCAGCAGTCTTAATCATACCCAAAGTTGAGGTGACTGATGTTTTGTTGAATGTTCCTCTCTCTTCCACTCACCTATACGTGGAAATACACACTGTCTGAATTAGTCTTGAACATGCACCAGCACTTCTGTCCGCTCAAGGTTTCCTGCTAAGTCAAGAAGCTGATATTTCAAAACAGCTGCTGCTTAGAGCAAGTCTTCATTTGTGAGTTCCTTCATATGCCACAAAACTTAGAAATTAACAAAGCTGTGCAGTTAAAACTTCCTGGGTGAGTAGGTGCGAGAAAGGAGCTCTCTGGCCTTCTCCTTTGCTGTCTCTTCTAACTGTGGACATTTCTTCCATTTCAGGATTCTTCATACCTCGATGAGCTCTCCAACAACAACTCCCTCTTCTCATCCCCTGCGGATTCCCTCTCTGACATCGCAGATCCTAAGGACTTCTTGCCTGCCGATAGGCTGAACCACGTGCCAACGCTATGGGATGTAAACATGCCGCAGCAGAACCAAATAGAGGTAGAGGCTGCTTCCTCTTCCATCCTCCCCATCAGACATGAAATACTGCAGGCTTCATCCCATGGTATTTTCATCAAGGAATTAAGAAACCAACCCAACTCCTCACAGGGGTGAGGTTGCAGTATGGTGATGTTATTTCCCTATTACCGAGTTTGCTTGAGGAGGGGAAGGGTGAAGTATTTTCACATGTTTTAGTCCCCTGGAATCAGGAGAGTGTCAGGACATCCTCACTCTTTCAGAGTGTTATGCAAGCGTTAGCTCATTCTCCTGACAGCAGTGGCAGGTAGGTGCATCACAAGCAAGATGTATCCCTAGCAGGCCCAGAGTGGGCCGCTATAGGGAATTCGGTTGTCCTACAGAGATGGACTCCAGGAAGAACACAGTGACTTAAATCATTAATTGTCTTTAGTGGCAGCCACTGCATGTTTTTTCTTCATGGCAAATATTTTAGTAACAATGACTAAAAACCAAACTCTGTTTCAATATAAGACTAGCCATGTATGTTTACTTTGCGAGTCCCAGTCCCTGCAGACTTTTACATATCTGAGTTTTCTTGAGCATGTGATCTCCTGGAAGTCCCAGAGCAGAATGTGGTTCTGTGCAGTTTTACCAGCCTTCTGCCATCTGCTTTCCCTCATGTGTTGAGACTGCTCACTCACTATTACACAACCTGTTATCAGTCGCTACTAGCAGCTGCCAGCTGTGGTCCTGGTGGAGTCAGTGTTCTACATATCTGCTGAATCTCTAGTTCTCTGCTATCACAGTAAATGTCCAACCATGCAGTAGGCTTTATCTTATTATAGCTTTAATTCGTTGTGAATGGTCTGGAAGGCAACCTAGCATGTCTGCATTTGTGTCACTATTGTATTATGAGGCTCTGTCATGCTTTTAGAGGCTGCATTTTGCTGTTAGTAACGTGTCAGACTCTGAGTTTCCATGATGAAAGCTGGCCGTTTGTCACGGCTTGGAAATCAAAAGACTTGGCAGCATTTCTGCTTCGCAACGATATGTTGTGTGGCTTAGTGACAGGTTGAGTATTGAAGGAGTATGGTTTGGTGACTAGTGTCCTGGCCTGGGACTTGGGAAATCAAAGTTCATGTCTGCCTTAGACTTCCTATGAGATTTTAGGCCAGTCATGATGATGCAGGACCTCAAATCAGACAGCTGAGCTCTTGTTGAAATCAGTGAGACACGATCACCTTTACAGACCTTGACAGGGTCTGCCTGGCCCTCAGTGCATCTGTAAATGGAGACAGAGAATACCACTGCCCTCCTTCCCGTGGATAAATGTGTTAAGAGATCAAGGGCCACACCATTATGCTGGCAATGAGGACTGCATAAGCAATCCATATGTAGTCTGGTAACTTTGGACCAGTTTGACCATGCAGTTTGAGAGAGTTATGGGGAAGAGACAACTGAGCTTTTTGAACCAAAGAAATAGCTGAAGAGATCACAGGCTTGTAAACTGGACAATTTAAAAAGGTGGAAAATAGATACATCCCCCAGGACGTGGAAGGCATATACCTTATTTCTCCTATTCTCCCTTCTTTTTTTTTTTTTTTAATGTAATAGCCTAAATCACTACAAAAATGAAGTTCCTTAGTGAACTGTTTCTAAACATGTGAACTCTGCTCGAGATACTTGATGCCTGAACAAGCTTGTAGTTTTGTATCTGTGCAATTTACAGCAAAGACTTGCATCGAAAAGCTGTTCTAAATCCAGCATAAAGAATGCAAGTGAGAAACAAGTAATGTCATGTATGTGATTTGACCATAGCAGAGCAGCTGCCTCCCCATCTCCATTCTGACTGCCCGCTCCTCCTCCCGGTCGCCTGTCAGCTCCTGGAAATCACCCCCTGCCCCTCCTTGTCCTTCTCACCGCTTAGGTTCAGATAAGGCCAGTTAGCTCCTTGGCATTCCATTTATAAACGACTTCCTTTTGAAAGAATCACTAGCTATTTTAAATGTTGTCTTATCTTTGTTTTCTGAATACAGATTTTTTTTTTAACTGAGCTGAACGTTTCCTGACAAAGTGTGCTGGTTAGACAGGAGATTTCAGTTTCATTTTTACAGGTGGGGTGGTAACTTGCAGCAGACTAGGTAAAGGGATTGGCAGATTTGACTCATGATTGGCATTAATTTTAGCTGAATTTTAAGTATGCAGATTTCTTTGTTAAAGGAGGCAAACAAGCGATCTGTTGCAAAATCTTGGGGCAGTGCCCAAGTAAAAGGTTCCTTACCGTGACATTCAGGACGTATCAGCACAGGACTGGGACTCTGCTGATGCCTTGCAGCAGTATACAAGCAATTTAGATAATCTTTACCTGTCCCTCCCCACAGAGTTATGCCACCATAATTTTGAATGAAATTGCAGGAATTTTTGCTTTTGGGTAGCTGGAGCAGTTACTAGGCAACGCTATGAAAATGAACTTCCCATCATGTGTAACCCAGGTGTATGCAGTCGTAATCTGTTTTGAGACAGTACTTCTAATCAGTTGTAGCTGTTTAGTCAGCTTTTTAGCCTGGAACAATGAATGTCCTTGAACTTTATTGTCAGGACAGTATTTAATTTCCTGAGACAGAATTTCAGTTTCAGAGACTCGTGAAGCAGAAGCAGCAGTCTCTAGATGGTTCTGGTAAGTGGGACATCTCATAAACGAAGTCCGATGCATCCTGCATGTGAGGCCCACATATAGATTCCAGGTACAAAAACTGCCTTATGTGCCCTTCTGGTCTAGGATCTCATCCCTTAGGTGGGTGCTTCAGACTCAGGTAAAAAGGTGGGAGCTCATTCTGAAATAACCTAACAGGGAATTTTCTTCCTGCCCTCTGTTACTTGGGGGCTGATATATGCTTTAAGCATGAGGGTTGATGTTTTCTGTTCATTGATTTAACTATAGGATTGTTTGTTATATGTAATCCTCTTTAAAAACTTTATGAACTACCTTCTGTCATGTGGTGGTGAGTTCTGCAATTTAAAGATATATTATGGAAAAGGCTGTATCCTTATTTTAGCCTTACCCTTTTTTTCCTATCAGCTATTACTACCATTGGGGAAATGTATTTACTCAAAGGAGGACAGAGAAGAATTGCAGAAAAGCTTCACGGTTAGACTGAGCACTGTTGAAAATTTTTTAAGTTCAGTAAGCAACTCTTTATCTCAAATGCCAAATGTTGTAGCTCTAAGTGAAGTGTTTGTGATTGAGGGGGAAATGGCAAGACTCAGAGTGAACTTCACATGCCCGTGCTGTGAGAGCTGTTATCAATAAAAGAGGAAGATGTATACAAAATGTTGGATCTATTTTATCATATCAGGAATAGACAAAGAGGGAAGAACTACTATACAGTTAAATATTTTCAGGAGTTAGCAGACAAAACATAGTTGCATAATTTGTCATGAAGTTGTGAAATGCCTTTTAAAAATAGTTCATGAAATCCATTATGTTTTCTCACAACCATCTCACGAGAGTTTACAGCATTTTTAGATCAGGGAAGCAAAGCCCTGCCTCTGAAGCCTGTAGCTAGAATTTTTGTGACCTGCTGATATGTTTTATTAAGTCTAACTCATTCACAGCACTTCTTAAAAGTGAGCACCCTTCTCCCAACTCAATACATAGGAATTATATTTGCGCAGAGAAGGGTTTATTTGTCAGTCAAATGTGACTCTTTCCTTTGCCAGTGAAGTCACGGCGAGACCGTGCATAGCAAAAGGGAGAATAATGCAAGGAGGAAAAAAATGGAATAGCATCAAGTCTCTGATTGTGCAATTGTGTCAGCTGCTTTACTGAATGAGAGTCTTTCTCCTGCTTACATCCCTGTGTTCTCGTGTATGGTGTGTGTCTTAAACGTTAATGCTTTTGGATAGGTAGCAGAGACTAAGGAGAAGATCAAATTGAGAGGTGAACAAGAATAGGGAAAGGAAGAAATTGTACGAGTTCAATCTGGAACAAGATGGTATATCACCCAGTAAAGCTCCTGGTCGCAGTCCTCACAGCATATTCTCGACTGTGCGGTTAATTTTAAATGCTCCAAACAACCAAGGCTTCTCTCACTTCCTTTTTGATACCTGAGGTGAAAAGCTGTGTGCAAAAAGCCATGTAGCTGAATTGGGATAGCAGGGATTTATGTTTCGAAGATGACACGATGCAAAGACAGACCTACATTAACTTTCCACTGCTAGACCTGAGACAAGTGTGTCTTTCCATTCTAGCAGGGTCTGGGTCTTTCTCTTGCCTAAGAAGAAGCTTTTATATTGAGCTCAGATTTGTAGGTGGAGATGTTTCACCTGCTCTCCAGATTTGTTGGCATTGAAAATAGCTCTTCCGTCCAGCTTCCTTCTGGTAATTCTGACTCAGGCTTCCAGTAATGGAGGGTGTTTTTTTTCTTTTCTTCTTTTTTTTTTAATTAAAAAAAGGAAATAATCAAAGTGTTTATGCTTAAGAACTTCCCATCTTTCACTTCTGCCTGTGGAGCATGGGTCTCTTTATAAAAAGTCTGGCAGTCTTCTCAGGCTATAAACTTGAAGTAGTGCCGCTTTTGGAGTTGCTGATTACTTTGGATGCCATGAGCTGCTGGCTTGACCTTGCTCGCTGTCGGGAAATTCCAGTGTGATTTTGTTTGTGTGGAGGCAGACAAAGGATCTCCTCGATTGTGCCTTCCCAGCGAGGAGTGTCTTGGGAGCGCTCATAACTGGCTGTGGTATAGTGGTTTGGATAGACTAAAGCAATAATTAACTCTGACATAGCAATTGGCTCCTAGAGAGATCCAGCTAACCCATGCTGCAGTCTGACCCAGCAGACCACAATAACTGCTGCATTTGCCTATCACTGGCCTGGTAGATCTCACAGTGTGGTTTGAGTTCCTGGAATAGTTTGGTGCTTTGTTGCTGGTCTCTGTAGTAAGCAGAGGTCATGGTCTGTCTGCAAGTGTGAGATGAACCCAAGTGGCTGAAAGTGTGCAGGCTTTGGCGGTCTCTGTACTAAGAGGTAAGCAGCGGTAGTGCTCCTCATCCTCAGAACAGTTATTAATCAGTGCTGACCCAGAGTCTGTGCTCTGGTGCAGTTATATAATTATTCTGAAGAGCGTTTTTGATGTTAAAAACCAAATTGTTGAAGTGTTAAGTAAATGGTTGCCTTAAGGGCAGTTTGTAAGAAGATTGTGAAATATCAGTGTTCTGGTTTAATGCTCAGTCATTTCTCAGTGATGTCTTCTTGGATGCAGTTTTGTTCCATCTTTCCCATTCCCCCTGTTTGGATCTCCTCAGCTGTACCTGAGTCTCCACTTCTGTCCCCCAAAATGATGCTATTTTTCTTCTGTTAGCAAATCCAACCCGTGCTGTCAGTTGGACTCACCAGTTCAGAATGAAACTTGTGATCCCTTTATGAGAATCTGCATTGCTCCTTTTAAGTCTTAAATGAGGATCTCTCTTCTGTAGAACAGCACGGCAGTTTTCTGTAGAGCTCCCTTCAGAGCAGATGAGAAAACAGTCACTGGGATAATTGTTCCTAGTGCAGAGAAAATCCATTATTCCCATAATAAACTCTGGTCAGGTCTTGAAAGGGACTGCTGGCTTGTAAGAGTTCTTTGAAAGCGGCGACATTTGTACCAATAATGTAGTAGTGCTAATGTAAGGTGTATAAAAGGTGTACTTATGCCTAAGATGCCATGTTTAAAAGCAAAACTTGTTGTTTCGGGATGACCCCTCTTAATGCTATGCGGTTGTTAACTTTAGCAGAAAGACATCTGTCTCACAAGTTTGTTCACATTGTGGAAGGCAACGTATCTTTGCAGGCTTTCATCAAGCACACATGGGCACACACAGAATGTTCTCACTTCTTGCAGGAATGTATTTACCTTGGCCAGTTAACCTCCGTGTTTGTGTTGATGAAGGCATGGAGAGCGTTTGCAAGATTTATTAGTTTCCTGAATCATTCCCTAGGGCTTGACAAGCTCCATTGCATTTCACAAACAGAAACTATTAAAGCCCATTGGTGATGTTAAGAGTGTAAGATCTGAACGCAGAGTGCAAGAATCTTCGCTGTTGTCATGTTTTCATGCTTTAACCTTTTGGGGTTGGAGTTGGAGGGATGAGTGTTACGGTTGTTTTCTTACTTGCATCTTTTCTGTTCCAGCTGTTCTCTCCCAGCAGATCATTCAGTGGCTTAAACAGTTTGAATGACCATGTCCCTGCTGTCCCCAACACCCCACTCCTCATAAGCTATCAGGTGAGAAAGATCTGCTTCAGTGGAATCAGGCACAAGGTTCTTAACTTGGTAATGCCACAGAAAAAGTGATTCTAACCATTTTTCTCTTCAGGGAGGGTAAGACAAGAAAATCAGCCAGATGTTTTACGAGTCACTGCCCTTTCCCAGAAGTGTCTTATATTTCCCTTGATGTAGTTTCACTGTGTTAAGGAATGATCTGTGCTTTCTTTACTGCTAAATCAGCAGAGTCGATAGAGGCTGTTCTTTTCCTGGAATTACGTGACTTTGCTTTATGCTGCCGAGTACTGTGCTGAGTTTAAAGCTGGTCTAGATCCCTTAATTGTGGGTCAGATTAGAGAACAGCTGGGTGGAATTCATGCTAGCCTACAACCCATCTGAAAAATGTTGTAAACATCATTTCCTAATTCAGTATGGACCAGGTGTTAAAAGTAGCTCTTAATGCACTTGTTGGGCTATAGGGGTGGGTTCCCACAGATGATATTCCTTATGTTGCTGTAGTCTATAAATTAGATGAATTGTATTTGCAAGGTTCATGAATTTGTGCTGGGATCATTTAAATGATAGTTTCTGTCACTGTGTAAGACTGCATGTCTCTGTAACTCAGTGTGAACATTGTTTTGTCAATGCTGTTTCTTTTCAGTCTCAGGCTCCTGCAGAGGAGGAGGATGAAGGTGAGGAGGAAGAAACTGAAGAGTTGGGGCAAACGGAGACATATGCAGAATATATACCTTCAAAGTGTGAGTGTCTTGCCATCACATGGGTATGAGAGGTGCTGTTAACTCCATTGTGTGCCAACCTAATTCACTATTACCTCCTTTTCCTGCAAGCAGTGTGTGGTGTTTGCCCTATCACATCCCAAGCTTGTGATTTTGTAGAAAAACTTTGCACGCCAATATGTGCATCCTTTGTTGATGTTACCCTAATTTAGCAGAACGTTTTTCTATTTTCTTCCTTTTGGGGAAGACATGACTTGTTCCTGAGCAGAGAGGTACAGAATGTTAATGTAGAGCCTGGAGTCCTTTTTAAGGTGCTTGGTAGAACTGAAGAACTTGAATTATCTGTTTTCTGTGTTGTCATCATAGCCAAGATTGGGAAACACCACCCTGACCTTGTGGTTGAAACGAGCACTCTATCCAGCGTCCCCCCACCCGATATCACCTACGAGCTTTCCCTTCCACGCTCCATTGCTGACAAAGGGTCACTCTCTGCACTACAGCTGGAAGCAATCATTTATGCCTGCCAGGTATGTGGCTCCACCTTGCCTGGCTTGCATGTCTTACCCTAGAAATAAATTGCCTTTCTTATGGACAGATATTCAAATGTGTTTCAAAATAGCCTGTAATATAGAAGAATCACCTTTGGAAACATTTAACATGTGCCATGTTAAATGCCTTTTGAAAGGAGGATTATTTGAAGCTGGAGACTGGGAATTTGTCTCTGTGGGGTCTGTTTCCCAAAGATGCAAGGACCCTTGACTTCTGCTGGAGATGGGAGTGCTTTGCATTTCTGAAGCCAGAGGCATGGGGACCTTTACCATGAGCTGTCATTTGTGAGCTTGACCATGACACTTGACCATTCCTGCCTTTGTTTATTTGAGCAGGAAACGCACTTGCATCCATGGGATATGTGAGAAGGTTAAGTGGTGTTCTCATAAACTCTTATGAAAGCTGTTAGCAAAAGCCAAATCTATTTTAATTTCCAACTCTGCTTTTGATTTTGCAGCAACATGAAGTTTTATTACCCAATGGGCAGCGAGCGGGGTTCCTCATTGGAGATGGTGCTGGAGTTGGAAAGGGCAGGACAGTTGCCGGGATCATCTTTGAAAATTACCTTAAAGGGAGGAAAAAAGCTCTGTGGTAAGCTTTTTCCTCTGTTCCCGTAAGACCTTGGAGTTGGTTTGAATTTGGGAGTAAGGAATTCCTTAGTGCTGATGTTGGCTTTATAGTTGACTCACGCTGTGGCCTTGGATAAGTTGTTTCCACCTCTTTGTGCCTCTTTACTGTCTGTGAAATGGGAATATTTCCCCTGAAGGGGTGATGGGAGAATGAATCACTATGAAATGGCAAATCATGTACTACTAGGAGCACAATGTCAAGCCTACTCCTGCTCTCTTTGAAGTCAGTGGAGGGGTATTCATGGACTTCCTGGGTACAGACTTGAGCCCCTAGAGGGTGCAGAATAGGCACAACTTGTCATAAGTGGCAGTGCTGTGGAAGACTGGAGGCTGCTGTCTGTGTAGGATCTTACATTGAGGTGTGTGGGCAGTTGGAAATGTGACGGTTTTGTACACCTACTGTTGCTTTAGTCAGAGCTATTAATCACTGTGCATGCCCTGACTGTTTCCTCAGCAATTAACCAGGCCCACATCTTGCTTTTCAGGTTCAGCGTCTCCAATGATCTTAAGTATGATGCTGAGAGAGACCTGAAGGATATTGAAGCATCCCACATTCCTGTGCATGCTTTGAATAAGGTAGGGGAGAGAAGTTGTAATGGTGTTCTGGAAAACCAGCCCGCAGTGGCACTTAGATGGATCTGCCTTGGCGTGTAATGCAGCAGTCACTGCTGCCTTTGCGTGTGGTTGATGGCACAGTCAGTAGCAGACAGCAAGTTGTTTGCTGTTCCCTTCTCTCAGCATGCTCTTCCCACTCTGGACTCTTGCTATTTTTATGCGCTCTCTGAGCACTGCAAGTACAGAGCTGCTTCCTGCAGGGAAAGTGAGAAGTGTCTCCGTACCAGTGCAAAGCTCAGTAGGACTTGAATCTTTTTCACCATTTCTGAAGAGTGCTGTGGAGGGAACAGCACCTGTTAGACATGGCCATGCTGTACTCTCGTGGGCTAACATTTTCCAGCGCTGGTTGCATGGAACCCCTTTTCAGAACGTGCCAGTGAAGGGAGCACTTACAGATGCACAGGTTGGTGCCTGGCAGGAGATTCCAAATGCACAGGGTCATGGCTAAACACATGGGCCCTTCCATCCAGCTGAGTGAATCAATCAGAGCATGTTCAGACTTCTGGTTATCAGTGATGAAGCATTAGAATGAAGTATTTTTCAAAAAAAACCTGCCAGTGGTGGTGGTGTGGTTATTCACAGGTCTCTTCATAACCTGTTCTTTAGCCTTTTGCCCAATCTGTCAGCTGGCTTGTTTGCCACACTGCAACACTCTTCCCTGGTTTTTAATGGTATTGAGCAACCAGCTTTTACTGAGTCAATGGAAACCGCATGTGCTCAAGAGCCCTGAATGCAGTCCATTAAGAGACTGAAAGAGATGTTTGTTTTCAGAACAAAAGTGCTTTAAATAAAACTTTCTTCAGATTAAGGCTATGTTTTTTTTTCTTCCTACATTTAGTTTTGTTATAGGTGATACCCATGACAGTAAGATAAGCAGTAATCGCACTTGGCCAAAGAGAATATTTTTTTGTTAAAATAATTAAAACAGATGGGAGGGATTCAGAATAATTAAACATTCTAAGCTATTATTTAAAAAGATAAGTGGTTTCAGGTGGCCAGAAAATTGAAGTCATAGTGTGGTCTCCACATTTCACTACATGCATCAAGATGTGCTGACACATTGGCTAGAGGAACTTATCCAGGCATATAAAGTCCCTGTCATCACCGTATCTCGATGCCAAATAGATGTGCTAAAGACGTCAGCCACCAACAGCCTTTTGTCTGTTGTAGTCTCAGTTTGACTTTTCTTGTTGAAGGCAGGAGCATGCGTCCTGTAAAGTCTCAGCAGAATCAGCTGTATTGATTGTGGGAGAAGGATGGGTGGGGCGTACTGCGGACAAGCGTCATGAGCGTGTGTGTTCTTGTTCTTCCTTTTTGTGCAGATTAAATATGGTGACACAGCTACCTCAGAAGGAGTCCTCTTTGCCACTTATTCTGCTCTGATTGGTGAAAGCCAAGCAGGCGGACAGCACAGGACACGCTTAAAGCAGATTTTGGACTGGTGCAGGGAAAATTTTGATGGAGTTGTATCCTTAAAAAAGAAAAAGGAGAGGGAGAGGAATTGCATGCTTGTAATTCTACTTTGCCAAGGGACAAAGAGCTGGGGCCGTATGAGGTCACTGGGAACAGCTGTACTGGGCAGCTTGATGCCTGTGGTGGATGTTTAAGTGCTATAAGCAGTGATTCCTCCCACATTCCTCTGTTGTCCTCCAGAGGCTGCAGTGTTAAAGGGAGGAGAGGAAGAATGGAGCTGTGATTAACTTTTTCAGCATTTTTCTCCCTCAGCATTATGGCAGACTTGTTCTTGGGGCAGCAAGACATACCTTGGTGGTGAAGGGACGAGGGAGGGGGAAATGACTTCAGGCTCTGAAAAGCAGAGGACTAGGCAAAAATGATAGATTTCATGCAGTTTGGGAAACGAGTCCATCTTGTTGATAGTGGGGCAGGTGGCTCAATTGGTTGGAGGAAGCTGGGTTGTGTTTTCCATCTCTTCCACCCTCACGAAGAAATTACATCCTTTCTCCTTAACTAACTTTCCCTTTTAGATTGTATTTGATGAATGCCACAAAGCCAAAAATGCTAACTCCACTAAAATGGGCAAAGCAGTGCTGGACCTTCAGAACAAACTGCCTCGAGCAAGGGTTGTTTATGCCAGTGCCACAGGTAAGCTTATCCCATAGCATTGCCTGAGCACCGTGTGTTTAAAAAAATTTAAAAAAAAAAAAAAAAAAGCTTTTCATCTCTGTGATCTGCCATCCTGTCTGAAGGATGTCCTTGAGATGTGATCACATACCCTGAGAGCACATCTTCATGCAAGAAGAGATAAATGACATCAGAACATTGTACTACAGTGCTAAAAGGCAGCTAGGAGGCTAGGACCTGTCCCAAGCTCTTGTCACTGCCTTTTTTTGTGACTTTTTGGTAAGACAGACTAATCTCTCTCCAGATTAACCTGTAATGATGATGTTTGCCCATTTAGTGCATAGAGGACAGTGCTTGGAAAGCCCCTTGGGTCTTCTATGGCGCAGTGGTGAATGGCCATCCTTTACAAAAGATGAGTTCATTTTTCTTGAGTCAAAAGTGTTTGCAACTGCTTTTTTCTAACAGTGAATTGTATTCAAACAGGTGCCTCTGAGCCAAAAAACATGATTTACATGAGCCGCCTGGGGATCTGGGGGGAGGGCACCCCTTTCCGAGCGTTTGATGAGTTCCTGCATGCAATTGAAAAGAGGTAGGTTATGCCTGGCTTCCCTTTCCACCTGGCTTATATTTTGTGGCAGGCTTTGTCTGGCCCAGGGAGAGAAGTGCTGGCCTTGACCTGTTGGTCTCTGCCTGGTATCTCCTTGGAGGAATCCTGTTTGCACCTAAAAATAAATAAATAAATATAATTTTAAAAAAAATACACCATCCTACCAGTCTCATGGCTAAACGCTTTGTACCTGTCCAGTGGCTGCCTTTAAACAGCAGGAGAGACAGCTAGGATGTTTTCAGAGGAAGGGCAAAGCCTTTTTGTTACTCAGTCCTTCTACTGGACTGAAGCAGTGAGAAGAGCAGCGCAGCTCACTGGGTTTCATAGCTGGGCACTGTGCTCTAAGTTTCTAGAGGAAGTCAGACTGCAACAAGATTGGAAGAGTCATTTTTCCGTTTGGGAAATGGGTGTGATGCCTGTCACGTGCATGTCTGAGGACAGCTTGAGCCACCAGGAGAGGTTCTTGTTCTGCAGATGCACCTACTTGGTGCTGCCCTTGTGCAGGGGAAAGGTGTTTCAGAGCAAACTGTCTGTCTGTCTTCCTCTCCCAGGGGAGTTGGTGCAATGGAGATCGTGGCAATGGACATGAAGGTCAGTGGAATGTATATTGCCAGGCAGCTCAGCTTCACTGGAGTGACCTTCAGAATAGAGGAGATCCCGCTGGATCAGCAGTACAAGATTGTCTACGATAAAGCAGCAAAGCTGGTGAGCTGGCCCCGCTGCAATAGGGAGACCAATGTTTAGTCATGCTTTGGGCATTGCCACTTGTTATGTGGGAGGATTTGAGGACCCTAAGCACGACCATGACCACACACTTAGTTTATTTATAAGAAAGAAAGGGAAAAAAATGGTACACGTGCTCAGCTTACATTAAAAAATTCATCTTGTATGTTTTTTTGCCTCTATTTAAAAGTTCCATGTTTGGAAACCAAATCTTGCAACTTGTGCTAGTGTAGAAAGGAGAGGATGACCAGACTTGTTTGTTTAGACTAACACAGCAGCAGAAAAACTGATGTTAAATTGAATTATCAAACCTCATACTGTTCTAATAACTTCATGCACAGCAGTAATGAAAGTGAAAAACAAGATACTAACTGTGCCTTTCTCGGTACTGTCTTCAGTGGGCAGAGGCCTTGATGGTGTTCCAGCAGGCAGCCGACTGCATTGGCTTGGAGTCTCGGAAGTCCTTGTGGGGTCAGTTCTGGTCTGCCCACCAGCGCTTCTTCAAGTATCTCTGCATTGCTGCTAAAGTCCGGCGACTCGTTGAGCTTGCCAAGGAGGAGCTGGCAAAAGATAAGGTGTGGTATTAGAATCTAGCTGCAAATGGCAACAGCCATCAGTTTTATGTTAGAAGTAAATTTTTGTAGTCTGAAACCAGAAGGAGTTAATTATTATTCTGCCTGATTTGAAAACAATTTCAAATGTCTGTAAATATGGCTGAAACTCTTTCTAGGTTAACCAGAACGAAATGCAGTCTCTAGGTTTCTGAGAACATTGACAGTAAATTATACTGGGGAGTTAACACAACGTCATCTGCTGAGGCATTACCCCTTGTTTGTGTACGACAGGCATGAGCAAGTCGATTTGAAATAGTATTTTGGGTCATGTTTGTGCTACAAAAGGTACCAGGTCTTTCACCTCTAGCATGGCTCTCAGTTTCTGTCTAGAACTTCCAAACCACATTCAGACAGATGTAATATCTAGCAAAATCGGTTAGCTTCTGAAAGTAGTCATCCACTCAGTGGTGTGAGCAGAAGTACAATGCGGGATGTGGAAAGATGGGTCTTCGTGAGGAGCCCTGTTACAGGTCGAGCGTGTGTTTTGGAGGGAGTCCAAGGAAAATGTCTCTGGAACTATGAAACAAAATCTCTAGAGCCTGTGGCTGTTTGCCCTGACACCAGCTGCGATACGCCCTCACTGACACCTTGCTGTGCTGTCCTTTGTGTTTCTCTGCAGTGTATCGTCATCGGCCTGCAGTCCACTGGAGAGGCTCGCACCAGAGAAGTCCTGGATGAGAATGATGGGCATCTAAATTGTTTCGTCTCTGCTGCTGAGTGAGTTAGAAATCTGTGTTGTTTTTGCTGAGGGGACCCTTGGGAGGCTGGAGGCATGCTAGGGAAAGCCCTGCCCTAGAGCCACTTATAATTTGCAGTTCTGCAAATGCAGTTCCTTAAAACACTTCACCCTTAACAAGCTGTAAATACAGAGGATGCTTTATTGGATCTTTGAGACGCTATTTATCTAAAAGTGGCTTTATAAACTAGATCCTGGATTTTAAACTCCCCTGTGGTTCTAATTTGGAAAGGAAATGGCAGGTATAGAAGAGCTAGAAATGTGAGCTCAGATGTGGTTTGTGGGGGTCTAACCCTGGAAAACATGGCCCTTGACACTGAAGAAATGAGCAGAGAAATCTTATTTAATGATAGAGGCTGAGATGATAATGTGAGAAGGCGTTGCTGGAACAGCGAGAGGAAGGAACGGTCCGAGGAGTTTAGGTTCTTCAGTGTTGGCTTTAAGCATGACTACAAGACAGGACTTGTTTGTTCAGTTGCCAGATCCTGTAGCATGCTGGTTGTGTTGCCTTCATTCATAGTTAAAGGCAGAATTGATTGTACCTAAAGTGAAGCCAGCAGTTGGACTCATGGTAAATTTTCTGGCAGAGATTGAGGCTTATGCTCCCGCTCACTTCTGCACCTTTCAGAATATCACGCTGTCCCATGAATGTGGCTATTCCTGTACAAGAGGTGATGAAAGCCTGGGACAGTCAGTTGAGTTGCGTTTCCTGTGTCCTGCAGGCAGCGGGGCTGTTACTGTTTCTTTTTGAAGTGACTTCTAATGTGAGTGAAAGCAATGAGAAATGCCAGAGATGGCATGTGTCCTGTTTGGGCCAAGCGTTCTCCCCATGTTCTCGGGCATTTTTGTGTTGATCTGTGTCGTTTTGCTGTCTCCAGTCCATTCTTGAAAAACAAATACCAATTTGCTGACAGTGCACAGAGCAAGTGTAACAACTGTTTGGATTGATTTGGTCTCTTGAATTGCTTTCTGCATCACAGAATTCAGGGGAACTCAGTTTGTGAGTCCGTTGGTGATCGCTCCCACTGCTCTGCTCAGTCCCCAGTTTGAGAGGCTAAACTTACTTGCTCAGCAGCATTAGCCAGGTGACACTGGGTGTCTTCTGGCATATGCTGAGCCTTTAGTCACAGCATCCTGGTTTTACAGCACTTCAGGGGATTTCTCATGCGGAGCGTGCTGGGAAGAAGCAGTTGTTTAAGAGAGGCCGAGAAACGGAGTTAAAAATAAGCTGATTGTTCAGTGAGTGAATGCAAGCCCAACCTTCTGTTTGCAGGGAAGATGGGGGAGTACAAGTACTGGGAAAATGAGCAAGGTCTCATGGCAGGGAAGCTCCAGAGCTGAGAGTGACTTTTTGCGTTCTGTGCCCAGAGCCACCCCAGCACAGAGGACGAAAGGGCCCTTTCTGGAGCCATGGAACCACAAGTACTTATTAGTCAGCCCAGCGCTCTGCCCTTCCAGGGAGTGGTGCTGTCCCTCACATCAAGGGTCTTAGAGTCCCCTCCCTGGTTCCCACACATCCCTCTTTCTCACATGGGTGAGTTATCATGTCCATACCTCTCAGCTGTTGCTTTCAACATTTTTTTTTCAACCAGAGCTCATTCAGCACTGCCTTCTCATCGCACTGGGGGTTCAGCCCCATCCAGCACAGTCAGCATTTAAGCATTTGCTCTTTTGTTTGCAGAACAGCCCACGGAAGCATTTGTTTGATTTCCATCTCTTCTGATTTTTCCATTCACTTGAATCCACTACGTATCCCATATTTTGTCACTTTTCTCTATGTCATGGGCAAGTAGACCCACGTCCAGTTAATCAAAGGGCTTAGTGAAGCACATTTATTAGAGAGCCTGACACCTGGTCTCTGCTGTGAGTTGCAAGGCAAAGCATCAGGCCACAGAGCATGGAGAGGGGCTGGAACACTGGGACTTACTGGATTTTTCAGTGGTGATGTAACAGCTTCCCAGTGTAGTGTGTCCAGTTTAAAACTCCTTCTTGGTTGCTATATAAAGGTCTTGCAACTTTGGCATGTCACATGGCAGCACAGTGCCCAGGATATGCTCTGCTTTTGTTGCAGTATCTCCCTGGAATGGCCCTGCTCCCCCCATTAGCAGGGAGGCTACAGCAGGGAGCGTTTCCCAGCGTTACATACATGGTCTTCACTCAGCTTGCCCGTTTCAAGGCTGGGATTCTGCTGGAGCAAGCCATGTTCCCTTGGGTAACTTTCAGGTCTGCCAGCAGAACCCTTTGGTGAAACAAACTCGGTTTGATTTGCTGCAGTTTTGGAGAGCTGAGCCGTACCAGTAGCTGATTGATCATGTGCTGCTAGTTGTGGTGCTGGATTTGCCCCTCTTTCATGAAATATATTGCTATCTCAAATACACATTGCTACATGATAACCAGCAGATGTTCCTGTTCCTGGTAGCTAGAATAAATTTTGCATCTTACTTTCAGAGGCGTCTTTCTATCACTAATTCAGAAGCACTTTCCTTCAACCAAAAGAAAGAGAGAAAAAGGAACTGGCATTAAAAGAAAACGTAAGAGCACACTGCTGCCCAGCATCTGACCTCCTACCTTGCTGCTTCACCCCAGCAACTCAGCTTTTTCTTTTCCTTTTTCCCTTTTCCCCACTTCATGCTTTTTGCTACTCTGCCCTGGTTTCAGTTTGCCCTCCCTCACATCCCCCATCACTGTCGTCTCATCTGGAGGAGGGCAGCTCTCTAGGTCATTCCCTCCTTCCTCCCTCTAACCCACTTCCCTGTCACCAGCGTAGTTCCTAGCCTTCACCACTTGCCCAGTAGCTGTGCCCCTTTCCCTTAGCTGCTTCCTTACCTAAACTGGTGGGCAGATTGCACAAGAGTCTCTGCTGCGCATTTGAAGCCCTCTTGCAGCAAAGTGGGGTTTCTCTACTACCACCTTACCTATAGCATGGCAAAAGTCCTGGGAAAAAATCACTTCCCTGCCGAATCATTGGCTGTGGCTGCAGGTAAGAACAGTTTTGGGATTTCTCCTCTAGTGGGGTGGAGGAAAGGTGGAAGAGGGGATGAGACAGCGGCTCAGACAGATTGTGGAGGTTGTCCTGACAGGTTGCTGCTGCAGAGCAGCTCATGCAGACTGGTCTATGAACCCTCTCACGTGGTGGTGGCATGTCTTAACTGTGCTTGGAAGTAAACAACATCCCAGCTGCAAGCACCAAAACACTGACACCTTCCCTTTGCCTACAAGTGCCTCAGAGGGCAGTCAGACCTGCGGACTCCTTCCCCTGTGGAGCTAACACTGCTTAAAGCTGGCTGTGAGTTTGTCCTGATGTGTGCAACTAGCTTCAACCCTCATAAAGACTGCCTTGTTCTTCCTTTCTCTCTCTTCCTTTCTTTCTTTCTCTCCCTCTCTCTTCCCCTTCCTCCTCCCCCCCCTCTTCCTATCTGTCTACCCCTGCCCAAAAGGCTCTGTCTCTCTAAGGTTAGCCTTTCATTCGAGGCAGTCTCAGCTGTTTTGTGATTTCTTTTCTTCTTTCTGAGCTGGCACTTGCTCTTCTGTGTTGGTACACAAGGCTGGGGACCCCCTCATGACACCACTCACTCCCCCTTGCAGGGAAGCAGAAGGGCCGCTGCACCAAGGCTCTGAAGGGTGTATGTGACCCTGCCGGTGTGATCAAGATCAGTGATGACAGCAGCACTGACTCCGACATGGGGCTCGACAGTGACTTCAACTCCTCCCCAGAGTCCGTGTTTGAGACAGATGATGTCATCTTCGTTGAGCCCACCTACAACGGCTTTGCAGCTGAGAACACAAGTAAGCAGGGCAGCAGCAGAGGGGTAGCTCCTTCCTTGCTGGGAGGAGTCACTTCATTCATGGTACAGGGTGCACAGGAATGCTGATGGAGGAAACCACCCACTCCAGTACCCTGCAAGTGTAGACAGCTATAGATTAGATATAACCCTTGTGGGGTCTGGCTAAGGGGACTGCAGAGTCAAGCTGCTGTGAGGAGATCTTTTTTAGTGTGTTTGGGGATGTCGAAGCTCCTTTTGTGTTTGGGGTAGCCTTACAATCTTGGCTAGATTTTATCCTGTGATGGTCACGCTTGGCCTTGTGAGGTTAATTCACATTAACTTGCTCACATCAGTGTGCCAAAAGAAGCTAGCCTGCTCACTACTTCCCCCCCCCCCAAAAAAAATAGGTCAAAAAGAATTAAGCCCGCCCACCTCTTCCCCCCCCCCCATAGAAAAAAAGTGGAAGCACAGATTTACTGCAGCAGCTTTTACTGCAAAGATTCACCTGCTCATCAGATAGTGCCCCCAGAAGCCCTTTGGGACCAACTTCTAATTTCTTTTAGCTCTTCTGATTTTCAATCACCAGGTGATTCTGAGCTTTTGTATTTTATATTGCAGGCAATTTTCACTTGCTGCCTTCCCAAAAAGAGATGCATGGCCTGAGAGAACTAGAACATGTGGAAAAGATGAAACAGGATCTCCTAGCAAAAGTAAAAGCACTGGGAAAAGAGCTACCTCTCAATACCCTCGATGAACTGATCAATCACTTTGGGGGCCCGGAGCACGTGGCAGAGGTATTCCCCACAATCAAGAGTATATTTCACTGGCAGTGGGTGACAGGAAAAGGGGCCAGTGAAGGGAGCTGTAGCTGAAAGAGAGTTTCCTCTCATTCCTTGCAACCTGAAAAAGCTGTTTAGAGTTGACTTCCTAAACACTGTTTCACCCGAGATGCCGCACCGTGCAGGTCTCTCCCCTCTGCTAACAGCCTCTCTCTCTTCTGTGTGGCGTGTGCAGATGACTGGGCGTAAGGGCCGGGTAGTATGCAGACCGGACGGCTCTGTCATGTTCGAGTCACGTGCAGAACAAGGCCTTTCTATAGACCACGTCAATCTGAAGGAGAAGGAGCGTTTTATGAACGGGGAAAAGGTGAGTGAGGTTTGAGCCAGAAGAACCTCCAGACGTCTGCATGGGAGCAAGTACATTGACAAGAGGAGGAAAGGGCAGATGTCTTGTATGCTTTTGCCTTACCAGCCTTAGGCCAGAGGCCAACAAGGCACCGCAGCTTTCTATTTGCCCTGCTGGCAAGCAATAAGAAGGCCTAGGTCCCTTCTATGATCTGGGGCTACCTTTGTGCCTTGGGCTGTTTCTTGTAGCTGTTTTTGCAGATGGCCGGGAACCTGATTCTCCCTTCTCACTGGTGGTGTTTCTCTCTCTCAGCTCGTAGCAATAATCTCCGAGGCCTCTAGCTCAGGTATCTCTCTCCAAGCGGACAGACGGGTGAAAAACCGGAAGCGGCGGGTCCACATGACACTGGAATTGCCCTGGAGTGCAGACCGGGCCATACAGCAGTTTGGTGAGGATTGAGTGTTCTTGGTCACTGCCCCCTTCCTGCAGCCTTGGGCAGCCCTGCCAATGAGAAGCACGTATGGCCACCCGAACCAGGCAGGGCCTGGGGTGTTTAGCCTGGCCTCCTGAACCAGGCTGCAGCCAGGGGCACACATACTGAGTTTTTTGAGATGGCAGCTTTCAGAGCACAGTGCTCACATGTTTTACCAGGACAGAAATCCAGACACAAGGCAGCTGTGATGGACTTATCTTATCGAGAAGGTTCATGTTGGCTTCAGGAACGATTTGCAATGTGGAAAGGGGGAAGCCTTCCCATACATGTGAGCAAGAGTTCCTCCTCATGAAACATGCCTGGTGGTGCCTGAGGATTTCTGTTCCGTCCTGGAGAACCTCTAGAGATGGGGAGGGTCAATTCCCATGTGAGCATAAAGAAATAATGCACATCTTAGCTCAAAATGGGGGAGCCAGTCCTCCTTGCCAGAGGCCAGGGCTAAAAACTCAACTCTGACATGGTCTTAGCATCACTGAGGTGATGAATGCAACTGCACCTCTGTCCTTTCACCCCAAAGAGAGATCTCCTTTGAAAACCAGCATGACATGGATAGTTGGTTTGGTGCTCTCATCTGCTCTCATTTGGAGCTCAGCTGCTTCTCCCATATCAGGTAGGCTGTACTGACCTCGCCTTTCACTCCCTTCTTTACTCATATCTCTGTAGGTCGAACGCACCGCTCGAATCAGGTTTCTGCTCCAGAGTATGTCTTCCTTATCTCTGAGCTGGCAGGGGAGAGGAGGTTTGCATCTATCGTGGCAAAACGTCTGGAGAGCCTAGTAAGTGCCCTGCAACAAAGAAATAAGCGTGTCAGTTCCAGTTCTCTCTGAACAGCTTCCATGTTGATAGTCCTGCTGGCATGGCCAGTGTTACTAGTACGAGGGATTTGCGTCACCCCCTGACTTAAGGCATTGCAGTTGTGGAGTGAAGAAGGCTTTTAACATTCTGGGATTTGGGAAAGGAAGTGAAGAAGAATATGTAACCAAGGCAGCAGGAGGAATTTCAGGGAAGCAGAACCCAATTCCAGATGCTGGAATTCCCCCAACATCACGAGAGCTTACGCTCATCCTTTTCCAGAAAGCTAACAGAAGTATTAATGATCACAATTTGTCAGTCAGTTTCATTTTAATTTGTTTCTGATAAATCCCCAAACATTTTGGGAAAGTCTTAATATTCCAGAAGGTCACTGCCTGCCCACGGTGCATTCATATCCTGGCATCTTCTGAGACAGGCTGGCTTTGGTCATCCTTCCTCTGGTAATTTGCAACAGCTAAAACTTAAGAACTAAAATACTTGTGCAGATATATGTGACATACGACCTGCCTGCTCTATTAAGGTGTAACGTGATGTCACATCTTAAGAGCTAAATGGCATGTGATATCTCAGAAATATGTAGTAAAAATAGCATTTTCAGTGTTCTGGATGTAACTAGGGAAACAGAAGGAAACATTGCTTGATAATCTCCAACAATTCTGTTAAAACCTGGTGGATGCTGTTGAGCTGGTTAGAGGCCATCATCTGAAATGCCCAGGAAATGTTGCTCACAGAGTTGGTTCTCTTCTCAGGTTAATTGATCTCTATTATGTTGTTACTCTGATTAATCCCTCCTACTCTTCTGAAGAGCTTTTTCGCTTGGTCTGTCTTCCTAGGGTGCCTTAACCCATGGAGACCGAAGGGCCACTGAATCCCGAGACCTCAGCAAGTACAACTTTGAGAATAAGGTAACTTGCACTGTTTGCAGGGAAGCTCAGCCAAGGAAGGGCTGAAACGGTTAGCAACAGTTAGTAGAAACCAGGGGTGCGAAGGTCGTTGCTGGCATCTACAGGCGGGATCTGGCCTAGCAAGCATCAGGCACACTGCTCTCTGCGGGTAGCCCAAGTACAGCATAAAGAAACAGTTAATATCAGCACTGGGCATCCGAGTGCCCCGCTGGTGGGGAGGCTCATGTTCCCAGCTTCCAGGGGGAAGCTGAGGAGAGCACTTGGGTGATCTGCCTTTGCCCTAAAGGGAAGTGGTGCCAGGGCCAGGGTGAGGGCTCACAGGTTCCTGTACACGGATCCCCTAGGGATGGACAAGGCCCCTGACATGCCACTTCCCCCTCGGCACCGCCAGCTCAATGGCCTTTCCTGAAGGCGATAGCTTTCTCTGCAGTGACAGCAGAAATGCTGTAACATACTCAGTCCGTTGCTGGGCTGACAACATAGGGTGCAGGTTTCATCCCATGCATGACTCTTGTCTCCTTTCACAGTATGGGGCTAAAGCACTAGACAGAGTCCTCTCCACTATCCTCAACCACATGGAGAACAAGGTTCCTGTGCCTAAGAGCTATGAAAGAGGAGAAGCTTCATTTTTTCAAGGTAAGACTATTACCAGCTCTGGGATTATTGTTGTGTCTTGCTGGCTGGGTCTGTCTCAGGTTTGGGACACTTGAAGAGCTGAGCAGCAGGCCGGAGGGAAGACGGGTGTGGGACAGGTTTACTGTGGGATAAGGGGCATAGCTGGAGGGGAAGCAGCCCTACAGGGATGTTGAGTGGGGAGGACGTTCAATTCTAAAACTCAAAAGTTGCCTTCTGCCATTCCAGAAATGAAACAAGGCCTCATCTCTGTGGGGATCTGCTGCAATCAGATTAAGTATGGCACCGTCTCGGTGGAGAAGGGTACGTGGCAATTTTTTTCTGCCTGTTGTGAGGGAGAAATGAAAGAAGCAAAGGTGCCATACGGATGCAGCACTCTGACCGTTGGGGGAACTGCTGTGGTGATCAGCGGCAGATTACGTTTCCCTGCAGCAGCCTGGACTAACGGGCTCTTGGGCCGCTTTCTTATGAATTAGTGCTGTGCTGCTGTCCAGGAAAGGGTGGTATTTAGGTGCTGAATGAGTCTCTTTGGGAGTGTACTGGTGGGTTTCATTCCTGGCTACACCACATTCCCTGACCCTCCATGCTCTTGCAGACTGCTCCATCACCAAGTTCCTAAACCGGATCCTGGGTCTAGAGGTGGACAAGCAGAACATGCTTTTCCAGTACTTCTCTGACACCTTTGACTATCTGATCGAAAAGGATAAGAAGGAGGGCAAATACGACATGGGCATACTAGGTAAGGAGAAAGAGGGGTGGACAGACCTCTTCCTGCTGCACTGCTGAGGTTCTCTGCTCTCTGTGCTGACTGATGGCTCTTCCAGCACTGCGCTGTGCCCATGGCCCCCTCAGGTGCTACACTGTCCCAGCCCCACACAGCACAAATCGAGACTCCTTTGCAGGGAGAGGAGATGGCATGGGCAGAGAATGAGGACTGGTTCTGGGCCTAATGCTCTAAACAAGGGTATGTGTTTTGGTCTTTCCTCCTGCTACAGATTTAGCCCCAGGAGTGGATGAGATCTATGAGGAGAGCAAGGAGGTCTTCCTGACCCCTGGGCACCCACAGGACGGGCAGGTCGTGTTTTATAAGGTAGGCAGCCCGCAAACTTATCTCTGCAGTCCAGCCTTCTCCAATGCCTCCCAGTCTGGGGCTGGGAGCCCCTGGCTTCCTCCCTCTGCCCTATGGCTGTGTATCACATTTGTGTGGCATTTACCTTGGTCATGGGTGGGTCCTCGATGCTGGGAGTTACACAGAGGAGCCAAGGACAGCCCTTGTTCTGCCCTGAGAGCGTGGGGCTGCCTTAGCCTGGAGCACAGTCTGGCAGAGCATGTCAGCACTGCACTTGCCCCTCTGGCCCTGCCCTCACCCTCCTCACCACCTTGCGCGGCTTCCTGGCTGCAGCGGGAAGGCTCGGGGCTCTTAATCCTTGGAGCTCTGCTCCCCTGGGAGACGGGAGCCCTGGGGCCCTCTGGACTTAGGTGCTGTCTGTGGCAATGTCCTTGAAATACCAACAGCACCTGTTTCTAGGCTGCAGCTGCACCAAGTATGTGTCGCGGTGTGATTTGTGGGACAGACTGAGCTTGTTCTGTGCTCTGGAATTACGGAATCCCTCTGTTTGTCTCCATTTAGATCAGCGTCGACAGAGGCTTGAAGTGGGAGGAGGCTTATGAGAAGTCACTCAAACTGACAGGGTCTTTTGATGGGTTTTATCTCTCCTACAAGGTAAGCCCGTGGGCTCTGCCAGGGTAGCACCTCAGCCTGGAGAATGACTCCAGCATGAGGTGGTCTGCTGTGACTGTCAAAGGCCCTTGGTCTGTGTGTGACCTCTTGCTGGGGGCTGGGAGATGCCTCTGCTGTGGGAATGGAGAGGAAGGGGTTAGTTCAGAGGAGTCTGAGCTTGGGAAGAGAAGCTGTGACTGTAACCACCAGCCCTACCCCAACAGATGCGAGGATGCAAACACACCTGTCTGCTGGCAGAGCAGAGCCGGGGGAAGAACTTCATCCTCTACAAGCCAAACATTGGGAAGCAAAGCCAGCCTGAGAGCCTGGACAGTCTGCACAAAAAGTATCGACGGGTAGGTGCAGCCCTCCAGCACAGCAGGAGGGAAAGGCCTCTTAGAGAAACTCTATGCAGGCTTTGCCACATGGTGCCCCTCCGTAGCACAGGCGCTGCCTTCCCCAAGCACACGTGGCTCGGCCCCAGCCCCACGCTAAGCTGCCCTTCCCTGCCAGGTGCCTGCTCCTGACGCCAGCTCACTCCAACAGGTCAACAATGTCTCCTGGCGCCCCTGGAAGAGCATGAAGTGTTTGTCCTCTCACCCCTCTGGCATGCAGGGTGCTTAGCACCGTGCTACCCAACTTCTTTGCTGTCCCTGACAGCAGTTTCCAGGCGTCCTGACTCCCAGCCCTAGGTTTCAACTCTCAGCTGCACATTGGGCAGAGGAAAATCTCTACCTCTATAATGGTTTCTTCTGCAGGTGCTGCCTGAGGAGGCCAAAGAGCACTGGGAGAGCAGTTACCACTTCTCCTTGAAGAATTGTAACCACGCTGCCTGGTAAGAGATGTGCAGCCCAAATCTGCCCTGCTTTCAGAGGGGAAGGCTGGTCCTGCCCTCCCTGAGGCAGAGCCTTTTGCCGCTGGCACTGGGGAGAGGCTCCCTGGCTGCGACAGGGAGGAAGGACCATTCTGGGGAGGCTGCGGGAGTCCTGCTCTGCCCTAGGAGCCCATGCTGACTCAGGTTGTTTTTCTCCACTTGGACTGAAGGAACAGGAGCTGCAAGCTGATCCAGGAGGGGAAGGAGTGCTTCCAGGGCATGCGACTGCGTCACTACTACATGCTGTGCGGGGCCCTGCTGCGGGTCTGGAGCAAGATCGCTAGCATCATGGCAGACATCACTAACACCAGCTACCTGCAGATCGTCCGCCTCAAGACCAAAGAGAAGAAGAAACAAGTCGGTGGGTGAATAGCTGGGAAGGGAAGGGGTAGGATGTGTTAGAAGGAAGAAGGGATCTGGCTGCCCAATTCCAAGATGCCCTTCCTAAACAGGGCCAGGTGTCAGGTAGGAAGCACCTGCTGCTCAGGTGATCCCATGGGAAGGAAGGCAGCTGGGGCTACCCCGATATGTTTGTGCCCAGTGGTGGTACATCTCTGGACACGAGGCATGAGGGTGCCAGCCAGGCCTGAGCTGTCCAGTTCATGACGGTGTGAAAGTGGCACTGTTGGTGCATAGTGTAAGCCTTCCTTGGAGCTGTCGTTGCTCCAGTTGCCCTGTCTCCCTACTCTGCAGCCCAGCCAAGAGGTGGAGCAGGCTGGGAGTGTGCTAAGCAAATGGGCCCCAGGCCGGGGTGCTCTTGCTCCTGCCTCTGCCCCCCCCCCCCCCCCCACTCCATTCCCTTCCCGATGTGCTTTGGGAACTGACCCACGTTCTTCCCCTAGGGATAAAGATCCCCGAGAGCTGTGTTCGTAAGGTGCTGGAGGAGCTGAAGCAGATGGATAAGAACGTGAAGCAGAAAAACAGCCAACTCCTCCTGGCCCAAGAGCAGAGCCTAACGTTCTCCCTGCCACCGCGCATCCTGCCGCAGCCTCTGGACCTCACACAGGTGAGGCCCGGGGTCCCATTGCCCAGGCACTCCCTGCACCAGGACGAGATCCTGGACTTGACTTGCAGCCCTCCCAGCAACAGTATCCCCGATGTGGTGATGAACCCAGAACCTGGTGCTTTGTGCTTCCCCTCAGAGCCTCTTCTCCAGCCACACCAGCAGCACGGGTTACCCTTTGGCTTCAGCCACCCTTCTGCCTTCAAGAGCCCAGCCCCAGTCCTGGAGGGGAACATGCCTCTGAGCTCACCCCTGCATGAACATTTGCCTCTTCCTCACCCTGGACCCTTGCAGACACTGCAGCAGCAGCAGGAAGACTTTGTCCAGCAGAATGGGAATATCAATTTTAGAGAGATACTAGAGGAGATGCTGAGGACGTTAAACATGGCCCCCCAAGAGAACATACTGTCCCAGGAGCGCCAGAGTGTGATCCATTTCAGTGGGCCTTTCTCTGACTTCTGAAGTTCAGTTGAGCCCAGTGTAGTGCTGGGCAAACCAGGCGCTGCTCAACCGCTGTGGATCCATATCCCTTGGTGCAGAGATGGGAGTTGGGGAGCCCTGGCTTTTCTACTGGTTTGGACTGATCCGTTTCTGTTTCTGAGGGGAGAAGAAAGAAAAAAGTATAGTTCCTTAAAGCAAAGTTTATTTATATATAATATACAGTCACGCATGTATAGATTTGTATATAACGTGCTTGGGGGGAGTTGAGTGCTGCCAAGCTCAGCTGATTTGGACTGATGGTCTCTGCTGTGTCCGAGTCCTGCTCAAAGGTCAGTGCCCCTGTGGGACAGAGGGGAGACACCCCCTTCTCTCCATGCTCATCCCTCTGTAGACTACTGAGTTTTCCAGGCTGGGTTATCCCTTCCCCAGCCCTCCAGCCCACAGGTCTGCAGCAACTGCTGACTGCACTGGTTCATTACTGAACGGGGCAGGGGCATGTCTGGTCTCAAAACGATCTGGTGACCAGAGCGCTGATCCATTATTGAAATGGGAGAGCCCAGTCCGCTCCTGACAGCTGCCTGACCAAGCTGTATCTGCGTTGGCCAGTGCCAGCTTTCCTCCTGGGCTGCACCAGCCCTGCTGTGCACCTTGAGACTGCTCTGAACCTTGGGTTCTGGAGGGCTGCGTGTGAAGGCAGAGGTGAAGGGCAAGGTAATGACGTTCCAGAGTAGTTGGGAGCCACTGAGCTAGTGTCCATCTGTGCAGGGTTGAGCAGACTTAGTTGAGAGAAGCAAAACTGACTGCTCCTGGTCTGCCTTCCCTGGGAAGGGATCCTGACACCTCTGGGGCTGCCTGAGCTCTGCAGGAAAGGGCAGGAGCTGTCTGTCCCAGGGCCTCATTTGTCCCTATTGTTCAGTGAGCTCAGCCATGCTGGGACCACTTGGGGGATTTCCTGAAGCAGAAGGGCTGTGTGTCCTGTCAGCCTGTCCCATAGCCCCTGGCCAGCCTGCGCCTCAGCCCCACAAGTTGCTGCATCTCTGGCTGGCCGTACTTTTTCCAACTAGCTATCATGTAGTGTCTTTCTGTCTGGCCATCTAACTAGTCCTGTTCTACATGGTTTGTCCTTGGCTGGGCCATGGACACAGGCCTGGGTGTCTGGATCTTGGTGATCCAGCCCCACCACTGATCTCAGTGAGAGCCACTGCAAGGTCCCAGAAGGGCTTAGGTCCCTGGCAAGCACCAGGGTTGTGCAGTATTGCTGTTCATGTGCAAATCCAGCCTCCAATACCAAAGAGTAAACGTCTGCTTTGCAAAGCACTGCCCCAGACAACCCAACTGCCTGTCCAGCTCCAGGTCAAGCCAGGAGCTGTTGGCGAGCTGCTTTCTCTCCAGGACATGTGTAGCCTCTAGCCACCTCTGCCACCATCCCCGGGCACTTGCTGCTGTTTCAGAAGCGTCTCAACCTCGGCAGGTCCCGGGGAAATTGTCCTTTATTTTCTCTTTTTAATCAAAGGAGTCTGGCAGGAAGCTGCCTGCTGGCAGGAATACTCCCGGCCCTGGCAACTCCTCTGCAAGCCTCCCTTCTGCTGCATTTCTTTTCCCTGCTTTGAATCATTTAGGTATTTCCTGGAAGCAGCACCAGGATATTTTCCAGGGAAGGACTTCAAACCTGCCATGTCTGGCCCAGCCCTCCCTCAGAGAGGGACCTGGGGAAGGAGGCCCAGCCTGGGAAGTGGCCTCTGCTGGGGACCCCCCTGCCCTGAGAGGTCAGTCTTGAAGGTGCCGACACTTTACATGTGCCTGGTTGATCCTCACCTCCAGGCAAAGAGCCTTGACCCTCTGGCGGCACAGAGACCGGCCGAGTGCCCGGTTTGCCGTTGGGATGTGCTTTGACTCGGCCTCAGCAGTGTTAGTGCTCCCGCTGAGACAGGAGCCGCCCTTCCCAGTGTGTTAGACCATGGCTTGTTTTGAGGTTGGCCTGGCTGTGATCCTTGCCCTTCGCTTTTAGGGGTTTATATTTACCCCGCCTTCTCCCCAGCTGGTATCTGCCTCCTGCCAACCCTTCCTCTGGCCTGGGAAGAGCTGTGGCAGTGCCCTCACGTACCGGCAGGGCCCAGGGTGTCCCTGCAGACAGGGCTGCTCAGGGGCAGCATTTGACTAGCGCTCAAGGAAAGCTCCTTACCTCAAAGTAAACACCAAAGATCAGAAGCCCTCCCCAGCACCTTTCTGGACAGAGCACCCTGGGGGGGTTCCCCTGGATCCTGGGGGTCACCCCTCTCATGGTGACACAACAGCCTTTTCCTAGTCCCAAACAGGGCAAGGCTCGCCCCTTCCCCAGCCCCACGTGTTCCTCTATTTAAAATGCTTCCCAGTTCACAACAGTCATGGAGAACCTGGAGGGGACCGTTGGCTCCGGCTTCACCCCGTCCTGGTTCGTTCACTTGGCGCTTGCTGAATTCTCAGCAATAAGAGAAAAACGCATGCCAAGAAAACCCATTTCAAAAAGGCTTAAACTCAGGAATAGCAACAAGGTATTCTTGCTCTAGGCACCCTCTGCCAGACACCTCTTCCCAGGAAGGAACCAGAGCACCATTACCTGGAGTCTTATCTGGTGGCTTTGTTGATGTTACTTTTAAAATATATGCAATTCCCCCTCCCTGATCTCTGGAAAGACAGAGAGCACCTTCAAGGAAATCCTTCCCTGCCCCAATCCTGTGTTTTTGTCAGGGTTAATAATATGTAACGATATCTTTTAACTAAATTATTATGCAGTTGTCCTACTGATTGTATGTATTTTTAAATGGGTCCCTTTTTTTCCTTCCTTAAAACTTTTTGTTAGCACTTTTTAATCTGCTTGTTGTTTGCCTTTGTTTTTCTATGTGTATTTATAATTAATTGAGATGTATATATGTAAAGAGATTTTTTTAGAATATGTGCCTTTGACTAATAATTCCTAAATTTTCTACTTGCCTCAGAAGGATAATTTTTCATTCTGCTCAGTAAAAATGGAAAGGAAGCCACATACAAGATTTCTGCAAGTCCCAACTCTGTCTGTCTGTCTGTCCGCCTGTTCAGATGTGTAGACTTGCCCCAAGGTCCCATCTGTGACTCCAGTTTGGTGAGGGGATCCAAGGGCCAGGGTCCTGCTAACAGCTGGAGTTTGTCCACCGTGTCCCTGAAACGGTGAGGGTAGTTTGAGGACCATTGTCCCAAGCAAATGCTGTTCTCCTGGGGGGGAGCCGGGGCCCCCTGTGCCAAGGCCGTGCTGAGGAGGATCCTCCTAAGCACCAGTTGAGTGTGGGAGCCCGGCCAAACTCCAGTGCTGCTCCCAGCGCTGTTGCTTTCTCTCCCGGCTTTGCTGGAAAAAAACATGGATAAAAGGAGCCAAAGTACAGGCCCAGTCCTCCAGCGTGAGCTGTTTCTGCTTAGTCACTTGCTGTGGCTCTGAGATCCCTTCTGCTCAGGCAGTACCAGTCCTCTTTATCCTAGTTGGAGATGGGCCTGTGAGCCAGGGGCGCTCGTAATGCCGAAGTGAGTCGTACCTCGCCCTTGTGCAACCGCGGCTGGGGCTCTCAGCGCTGCCACGGGAGACTGCGGGGCCACGGAGGGCAGAGCGGTCAGGCAGGCTGGAGCACGCCCCGCTGCTGCGGGCCGGGCCGGCTGGCCCGCAGCAAAGTGCTCCCTGCGTTCAGGGGGGAGGATTTAGCACAGGGTCGCTCCGCCAGACTCGTGGGAGGAGAATCCCTCGAGTCCCAGCCCGGGAGCTGGTCCCCGCTCTGCTCCCTGACTTTACCCTTGGCCATGCAGCATGGACAAGGCTTCCCTCGCCAGGCCTGCGGAGGAGCTGGCTGTGGTTTGAGCCCAGCGGTGCCAAGGAGAGGCCCAGCACCCGCCCAGGGCAGTTGAGGGGCAAGAAGGCTGCCTGCCTCTCACGCAGCGCTCCAGCGCAGCACAGGCACCTGTGCAGGCTTTCATAAAACCAGCTCTCCCACCTCCTGTGGGAGACGCCGTCTCGCCCCAGGCTTGGCTGGACAACACTGGACTGTTGCAGGCACCAACTCCACTAAGCCGCAGCCAAGATGCCTCAGGAAGGCTTGGATGCACCCATGTACCTGCACGCCCA